CCCAAAGAAATCTTGTACCTCTTAACTGCTGCTCCCCCATTCTCCCCCTTTCTCTCAGCCCTAGGTGTCTTGTCCCTTTGTGTTGTACATAATTCTTGTGACTGCAAAATTCATAAAGAACAAACATTTATTTCTCATCTCTCACCGTTTCAGAATCTGAGAAGTCCAAAATGAGGGCTCAGGCAATCTGTTGTCTGGTGAGGGACTTCTCGTTTTGTCCTCACATGGTGGAAGATGGAAGGGGGAAGAGGACAGGCCTTGTATCATCACCAGGCAGGAGAATGAAAGAGAACCATTCCCACAAGCCCCTTTGTAGTGGCATTAATCCATTGAGATGACCGAGCCCTCTTGACCTGAAGCACCCCCATTACACTTGTTACCCCCCACAGTGACATTGGGGACTAACTTTCAGCATGGGTTTTGGATGGTATGCTAGTCAGGGTTCTCTAGGGATACAGAACCAGCAGGGTGTGTATAGCTGTGTAAGAGGGGGTTTACCAGGGAGTCAGCTCAGGTAGTTATGGTAGCTGAGAAGTCCCAGGTAGGCTGTCTGCGAGGCAGAGGTCCTGGATTCCTATGGTGTGGATCAGTCAGGTCCTAAGGCCCAGAGGCAGGGAAGCTGATGATGTAACTCTGTCCGAGAATGGAAGCTTGAGATCCTGCGGTGGGGAGGGGAGCTGGTGTAAGTCTTGGAGTCCAAAGACGGATGAGTTCTCATGTCCCGGGCAACAGAAGAAGTCTGTCCTGCTGTCTCACAGAGACCTTCGTTGTCTTCTGTATTGATTCTTTCTGGATTCCATGTTCATTGGATCATGGATCATGCTCATCCCAAAATGAGGATGTGTATTCCGTCTCTAGCCTACTTGGAATTTGATGTAATTCCTTCTGGAAGCACTTGTATGTGCCGCGGGGAACATGGTGCTGCGGGGGTGATCAAAGCCAGCACCCAGGGCGGGACACGGGTTCCTTTCCGCAGTTCATGGAGAATTAGACACAGATGTAGGCACACAGTGGAGTTTATTGGGAGAGAAGGGAGAGCCGCGCTTCCAAGCCGATAGTGGGGATGTGGGCCCTGAGTGGGTTGCCCCTTGGAGTTGGGCTGAGGGGCTTTATCTGTGCTTGTTCCCAGGTGGTGCATGCATTCCCTCGTGGCGGTGGTCGGGGGCATGTCACATCCAGGATGGGTTTGGTTATTTTTCCTAATTTTGGAGTGGGTACACAAGGAGACTCTCTTGGCCTAAAAGCTTTGGGCTATAAAATGGGATTATGTTTTTCCTGGAGTGTGATGAGACCAGAAAAAAGTCTTTTGTCTTAGGTCAGTCATTAGGCCACTGCTGCAAACTGTTAGGTGAGCAGACAGTTCAGTGAGAGCTGAGCTATTGTGTCTCCCCCCAAACGTAGCCGTTCTATAATTTCACCCTGGCCTGTACTCTGACTACATTCTTAGGATCCCCGTCTTTTACCTTACATGGGTCTTCATAAGGAAGTAGTGGTTAATGGTCATAAGAAATCTTTTTTCTTTTTGGAGAGGTTTTTGCTATACGGCGTGAGTGCTCGCCAGAAAGACAGCAAGAGACAGACAGAAAGTGAGAACTCACCACCACCACCCCCCGAGAGGGGGCACATCGCAGTCCCTTCTCCATTCTCCTCCCAGAATCTTGGGAACACACAGACATATGCATGGTGTGAGTTTAAGTTACCGGGTCCAGGACTCCAACCACGATCACCTACGTGGGAGTCCAGCAACATATCATTATACTAACTGCTGGTCCCACAAGAAATCTTATATCATTAGGCCTTTTAGCACTAATTATAGTCCATACTGGCTAGTCTTGCATTTTTGGGGGTGTGGGTAAGATTGTCTCTTGGCCCCAAGCATGGTCGTCTTAGAGTGGACCATTTTCTGAACTCTTAACTTTTCATGCATTTAAGCTCATTGGCCTGAGCACTTAAAATTCCAAACTTAGGAATTGGTCTGTCTTGAGACCTTGCCTCTTATTAATTATTTTGCTTGTATGCCTCAAAAGTACAGTATAGAGTGGCCGGCAGGTGGCATGGTGGTTAGGGGCACTGGACTCCCACATGGTCAACCATGGTTCAAGTCCTGGATCTGGTGGCTTGCTTTCTCACTTTCTTTACTTCTCTCTCTCTCACTCTATCCCTCTCTAGTCGAATTCAAATAAATAAATACATAAAGTTAAATAATTCTTTAAAACAATAGTTTGAATCACTTTTTTTTTTTTTTTAAGTACAATATGGTTAATTGGTGAGAGGGACAGAGATCAGAAAGGAAAGTTGTTCTTCCATCAGGTTATAGTGGGCTCAGACTGGTTTTGGGTAGACTGTCTGGTTTGGGGGTCTCCCAGAGTCATAGTCAGTGCTCCATGGTTTTTGTTTTTGTTTTTGTTTGGAGAGGTTTTTGCTATAGGGCATGTGCACTCGCCAGAAAGACAGAGAGAGACAGAGAGACAGAAAGTGAGAAATCTTCCCCCAGGGGAGTTGGCCACGCCACAATCCTTTCTTCTCTATTCTCCTCTCGGGATCTTGGGCACACACGCCCACATGCCCAGTGTGAGTTTAAGCCATCGAATCTGGGACTTGAACCATAGTCGACTACAGGGGAGTTCAGCGACATAGCCATTATGCCAACTGCTGGTCCCAGTACTCCATCTTGACCCCCCTATTTTCCCTTACTGCCTAGCCTGAATAGCCTCTATCTCACTTGGACATACTGAGAATAATGCTTTCTGCAGATATTCCTTAGTCCATTCAAGTTGAAACCAAAAGTAACCATCACAGAGGTGACAGAACATTCAGGCCATAGCCCTACGCAACTCTGATTTGTTTTCTGTCTCTGTAGATTGGCCTGCCTCTGTGCCTGTCATACACAGTAGTCCCCTCTTATCATCGGGGGATGTGTTCCAAGATTACCCGTGGCTGCCTGAAACTGCACACAGTGCCAAACCCTATTTATGCTGTTTTTTCTGTACATCAATACTTACAATAACATTAATCTGGCCCAGTAAGAGATCGACAGAAGTGATAGACTAGTGTGACAGTGTACTGTAATGAAAGTTAACGGGTTTTTCTCTCTCACTCAAAATATGTTATTGTACTGTACTCTCCTACTTTCGGGCCTCTGTTGACTGTGGTAAACTAAAGCCGAGGAAATCAAAACTGCAGACAAGGGGGAGCACTGTGCCTGGCACCTTTGCCTTAGCGTAGTATTTCGGAGGCATGTTGTAGCGTGTTATCAGAACTTTTGCCACACACTAGGGTGTGTGAGCTTGCCTGAGAGAGGGAGGAGAGAGAGAGCGTATACTATGACTTGGTTTTCCTTTGATTATTTTACATTTATAGTATAGATAAGATAGATAAATGCCCCCCCCCTTTTTTTTGGAGAGGTTTTTGCTATATGGCATGTGCGCTCCCCAGACCAATAGAGAGACAGAGAGACAGAAAGCCAGAAATCATCCCCCGGGAGGATGCCATGCTGCAATCCCTTCTCCTCCCCTCTCTTCTCGATATCTTGGGCACGCACGCACGTGCGCCTGGTATGAGTTTTAAGCCACCGGGTCTGGGACTTGAACTACGAACTACATGGGAGTCCAGCAACATAGCCATTACGCTAACTGCAGGTCCCAGATAAATGCCTTTCCTAGAGGGGCCTTAGCTTAGTAAAATCAAGGATGAGAAAGCATTTCCAGGATTCCAACAGCAGGGAGAGGTAGAGCAGGAGAGACTGTGGCGTGACCATTACCCATGCAGGTGCTCTTTTTCACATCCCCGTCCCACTGCAAGTGCACACATCCTCTGGCAAATTTTTTTTTTAAAGAATTACTTATTTATTTCCATTAGTTATTGTTATTTTTTTTTTCTTTATTTGACGAGAGAGAGAGAGAAAGAGAAAAAGGGAAAGTGAGAAAGCAAGCCACCAGGTCCAGGACTTGAACCGTGGTTGGCCATGTGGGAATCCAGTGCCCTTATCCGCCACACCACCTGCTGGCTTCCCTCTGGCAAATTTTTAAAAAATAAAGAAATAACGCTACCCTTCATTGGGATCAGCTATCTGGTAAAGAACTTTACAGAACTGATTATATTCAAATAGCAGTGAGATGCCTTCCTTGGGATGTTGTAAAATGCATTTCTGCACAGGGAAAAGGGCTGGACCCTGAGGCCCTTTCCACTTTGGAGAAGGTCTCACTTCTCCTGGAGCTGCAGATCCTACAGCCATAGAACAGCTTGGTACCTTCTTGTATGTTCTGGCTTCAGGTTTGTTTTTATTTTTAAGTCTGAGTAACCACAGTGGTAAACTCATCAAAAATAGCAGGGGAAAAGTATCTTTATCCTTTAAAACTTTTTTTTTTGGAGAGGGTTTTTTTTTTTTTGTTTGTTTGTTTGTTTTTGCTATAGGGCGTGTGCGCTCCCCAGACAGACAGAGAGAGACATAGAGACAGAAAGTGAGAAAGCCCCCCCCAGAGGGATGGTCACGCCGCAATCCCTTCTCCTCCATTCTCCTCTCGGGATCTTGGGCACGCACGCACACGCATCCGGCGTGAGTTTTAAGCCACCGGGTCTGGGATGCGAACCACAGTCGACTACGTGGGAGTCCAGTGACATAGCCATTTGCTAACTGCTGGTTCCCTATCCTTTAAAACTTAATCTCCGTTGAGAAATTACTCAGAATGATATAAAACTTTTGAGTTTTTATACCTAGAAAGGACTCTGGCTGGGCCAGCAGGTGGTGTGGTGGTTAAGGGTGCTGGACTCCCACATGGCCAACCTTGGTTTGAATCCCGGAACTGGTACTTGCTTTCTCTCTTTCTCTCTGTTCCTCTCTGGTCAAATTTAAATAAATAAATTAAATTAAATAATTAAAAAAAAAAAGGACTCTGGCTAAGAATGCAGACTTTGAGTTCATCCAGATCTGAGGGAGAGAGAATTAAGTGTGTGGATGGTGATTATAATACAATTAACCTCCTCTTTAATTTTTTTATCAGAGGAAACACAAGAATAGAAGAGGCTTGTGAAATGTATACCAGAGCTGCAAATATGTTCAAGATGGCTAAGAATTGGAGTGGTATGTACAAAGCTTTTATTTGTTTGCTTTTCAGGGAAATACTTGAAAATATTTTGAAGGAGGAGATGACTGTATTTCCCCTAAAAGAGCAGAGCTCTGCCTGAGAGACAGGACGTAGAGCTAAATAACTGGTGTGGTTGTGTGTGCTGGGACTAAGGACCAAAGTCTTAGAGAACTAAGCTTGAAAACCTGCCTGTAAGTTTAAGGATAGAGACAGTGTCTGTTAACAATTTCTATAAAAGTCATCTAATACAGCATGCATGTGGTAACCACAAAGTTAAAATTGGCCTCGGCAGGTGGTTGAGGCACTGGACTCCACATGGCCGACCACAGTTCAAGTCCTGGACCTGGTGACCCGAAAATCACAACAAATATATAATGTTTAAACATGTTTTTTAAAAAGAGTTAAAATTACTGAGACTAGCAGTTGATATAATGGTTATGTTACTGACTCCCACGTAGTCACCCAGTGTTCGAGTTCTGGACCTGGTGGCTTAAAACTCATGCCAGGAACGTGTGTGTGCATGCTCAAGATTCCAAGAGGAGAATGGAAGAGAAGTGACTGTGGCATGGCCATCCTCCCTGGGGGATGATTTCTCATTTTCTGTCTTTCCATTTCTCTCTCTCTCACTTGCTCTCTCCATTGAGCACACACGTTCTATGGCAAAAATCTCTCTAAAAAATACAAAGTTAAAATTACTTGGAATTATAAAGGCTAACCTTTGTTTCTTACATTAAGGAATGAAAGTTGGAATAAAACACTGGAGATGAATATGGTAAATATAAGGTGTCTTCATAAAGTTCCTAGAATATGCATGTTGGAAAAAAACAAAGCAAAGTTTTCAAAAATTTTTGCACCAAAATAAGCTTATACTGTGATTGCATTTTCCATGAACTTGTGGAAGTCCCCTTATAGTCACACCTGTTTCCTTTACCTTTGCATTGACTGAGCATTTCTGACCATTCTCTGCTCTGAGATAACTGATGGTGGTTCCACTGAGCACCGTGGTGATTGGGGTGTTTTTTACATAAACCTCAGTAGACCCATTGCTATTTTTTTAAAGTAATGCTTTCTACCCAGTAGAATTACACTTTGTTCTGAGGAGGATGGCCTTTTTTTTTTTTGAGAGTTTTTTGCTATAGGGCATGTGCGCTCGCCAGACAGACAGAGACAGAAAGATAGAAAGCAGGAAATCACCCCCCAGGGGGGATGGCCATGCTGCAATCCCTTCTCCTCCATTCTCCTCTTGGGATCTTGGGCACGCAGCACACGCGCCCAGCGTGAGTTTAAGCCACCGGCTTCGGGACTCGAACCGTGGTCAACTACGTGGGAGTCTAGCAACATAGCCATTATGCTAACTGCTGGTCCCGAGGATGGCTTTTTTAACATTGATCTGAAAGAAAAATTCATTCTCTTTCCCCTGGAAAAAGAGACTTTGCCTTGCTGGGTTAGGTATCTCTGTAATAGACCAGAGCAGGGGATATGGCTCCAGCCCCTGCTCACAGTTGCTGTGTGACCAAAAATGAGTGTCTTGCCATCTACAAACTGTTTCTCTGCTTTTGAGCTGGGTGGATCTGGAAGGTCCACTCCAGCTCTGAATTTCTTTGTTATGTTTAGTTTAAGTTAGCACCTTAGTTTAAAAAGATAGGTTATATTTCCAAAATGTACTTACGCATGAATGATATTAGGAAAAATGGAGGAGGGAAAAAACGGTCTCAGTATTCCCATCTTTGTTTTGTTCCATAGGTGAAAAGTGATCTTAAAAGACCACTTAATATTTATTTTATCTGGGGAACCAGCAGTTAGCATAATGGCTAGGTCACTGGACTCCCATGTAGTTGAATGCGGTTTGAGTCCCGCACTCGGTGGCTTAAAACTCACACCAGGCGCGTGTGCGCCCAAGACCCTGAGAGGAGAATGGAGAAGGGATTGCGGTGTGGCTATACCCCCTGGGGGTTGATTTCTCACTTTCTGTCTCTCTGTCTCTCTCTGTCTGTCTGGCGAGCACATGCGCCCTATAGCAAAAAAACCTCTCCAAAAAAATAAATAAATAAAAATTTTAAAAATAATAAAAAATATTTATTTTATCTGGTGATCAGATGTCTAGTCTTTGAAATTTTAATTTCAGAGAAGCCGTTTGTCATTTATACAACTGAGGAGGCTTTGTGTAACTCCCCCCTCTCCCCAAGTCATACGTTGCTCTTAGTCTGGCCTCTCGTATCTTCGGGCTATTGTACTTTCCCAGTCTGTGATTTTTGAAGGGGAGTGGGGAAAATTTTTGCTCTAGGGTGTGTGTACTCACCAGAGAGACAGGAAGCAAGAAATCACTCCCCAGAGGGATGGCCATGCCACAATCCCTTCTCCTCCATTCTCTAGGGACTTCGGGCACACATGTACATATGCCCAGCATGAGTTCCAAACCAGGTCTGAGACTTGAACTACGGTTGACCATGTGGGAGTCCATCACCTTAACCACTAAGCCACCTGCTGGCCCCTCCCAGTCGGTTTAATGAAACAACATAACACAAGTCAGGTTAGGTCATATCATTCCAGATACAAGCTGATGTCCTCATGCTGACCTCCGAGGACTGTCTCTTTCTGAAGTCTCTGATCTCTTCCTTTGCCTACTCCTCTGTGTACCGACTCCCTTCTCACAGCTGCTCCACATGCTGTTTTCTCTGTCTGCACTTAAAGCACAGAATGTGGCTGGCTCCCTTCTTTCAAGTTCTTCAAGTGACATGTTCTCGGTGAGACATTCCCTGGCCAACACTTTTAAAATTAGCAGTCTTTTCTTTCCTGGAAACTCACTCCTTTCCCTTTTCCTCAATGGCCTCTCACCTTTTAGCAAAAAATTTTAAATTACATAGTGTTTTATGTTAATTTATGTTTTTATTATCTGGTAGCATTTATTATTGATAGAGTGTAAACCTTAGGTGGCCAGGATGTTTCTGTGTTTTATCTCTGCTGTGTCTCTCAGCCTGGATTGCTACTTGGAACATAGATGCTCATTGTACTTGTTGAACGAATGCATAAATATTAGACTCTTTAAAATTTTATTCAAGCTGCAGGGTGGTGATTATAACACCAGTGTGTTGCTTTAAATATAGTCATTAAAGTTTTTTTAAAAAATAATGATTAAGTGAATTAATTTAATGCTCAGTTTTTGAAATATCATCCTGACAAGTATGAGGCCAAAATTGAGCCTGACAAGTGCTATGACTTCACAGAGGACATTGAGTATCTGTATGTTCCTTTAATGACGCATCCAAGTTTGGAGCAGCCAAGCTGGTATTTGATAGCCATGATTAGAGCAAGTGCCCAGAGTAGAAGTAAGCCAACAGCTAGCTTTGTAACGTGGGAGAACGGAAATGTTATAAAGCCTGGATATGTAGTGTCATTAATCTCATAAAGAAAAGGATGTTCTATTACTGGTTCTGGGACAGTTAAGCATACGGAAACTATTGAAATTGAAATGCTAGCAGGAGATAAAGGATGTAGGTTGTAAAGAAATGAAAACATTTAAGCTTCCTTAACCACAGGTATGCTTTAAGAAAATTGGCATGTAATAATTGAAATAGCCAGCACATTGCACCTGAGTAACCTGAGCCCAACCTCTCAGCACTTTCCTTGAGAGGTTCAAGTTATTACTGTTGGGTCGTCAGAAAAGTCATGACACATTTTTGCATAGAAAAACATAGAAATATATGTCATGACTTTTCTGACAACTGAATACATTCTTCTGAGATAGAGTTCACTAAGTTGTTGTAAATTCTAAAATTGCTACTTGATAGTTAGCTGCTGCCCCAGGTACCCCAGGTGTCCACCCACAGGGACCCCCCCCCCCCCCGGGTTTTTTTTTTTTTTTTTTTTTTTTTTTTTTTTTTTTTTTTTTTTTTTTTTTTTAAATCTTAGTCATTCTGACTGGGTTTAGGTACCCCAGAGAATTTGAATACTTGGTTCTTCTTTTCTGTATAACCCGCAATCCCTCCTCTGAATCTTGGGCACACATGTGCACATGCCCAAAGTGAGCTTCAAGTCACTGGATCCAGGACTCAGACAACAGTCAGCCATGTGGGGGTCCAGAGATGTAACTGCTAGGCCATCTGCTGGCCTTGGGACCCCCAGTCTTAATGATTCACCAATGCCAGTGGGTTCTCCAGTTAAGCGCCATCCCTGGAATCAGCATATAATTTAATTAGTCAGTGCCTGTCTTAGTCTGTTTCTGCTGCTGTAACAAAAATATTTTAGACTGGGTCATGTATAAGCAATAAAAATTTATTGTTCATTGTTCTGGAGGCTGGGAAGTCCAAGATCACGGTACCAGCACATTCATATGGTGAGGATTGCTCTCTGCTTCCATGATAGTACCTTTTGCTGCATTCTCACATAGCAGCAGAGGTGAAGGCTGCTCCCTTCAACCTCTTTAATGAGGGCATTATCTTCATTCATAAGGGTGGAGCTCTCATGAGTTAATCACCTCCTGGAAGTTCTTCCTCTATACTGCTGTCACATTGGACATTAGGTTCCAATGTCTGAATTTTGGAGAGATACCAACATTTTGACATAACAGTACTCATGTCATGCTTGGGGTTAAATATTTTAAAAACTGCTTAAGTAGGTATTCTCTTTATCAGAAACTGAGGCACAGAGCAAGAATTGAACCCAGACAGAGGCTCCAGAGTTCATATTGCCTCTTTGCCCCTGAGGCTTAGAAACCCATGTGGAAAGTACAATACAGTACTTCTGGAGAGGGTCTATGGGTAAAGGAAACAACTAAAGCTTTAACAGTTCTATTTTTTTTCTTTTTTTAATTCTTGGGTTTTTTTTTTGTTTGGTTGGTTGGTTTTTTTTTTTTTTTTTTTGCTATAGGTCACGTGCGCTCGCCAGACAGACAGAGAGAGACAGAGAGACAGAAAGCGAGAAATCACCCCCCCAGGG